TTCTGAAAAACCTTGACAAGAAAACTGCAGGGTTAGTCCAGTAGTCAAAACCTGACTCAAAGGCACAAAAGAAGGAGAAGGAGGGAAGGTGAGGATTAGTTACATTGTTAAGTGTCCAGTAGGTATTTAGCTTAAGGCAAAAGTAGGAAATAATTAGCTAATTCAGATAAGCAAATAAGAAAAGACTAGATTCTCCAGGCAAGTCTTTGCGTGCTAATTAAAAATACAGTTCAACCACAGGACAATTGCTAACAGGTAAGTATAATAAAGTACAAAATTGAAAGTATAACAATATTATGTTTTGCAAAAATGGAAATCTATATGTGCCAACCTGCTATATAGGCCTATAAATAAATTTAGAAGAATCTGAAAAAGCTAAGAGTTTATAAAAGCTGCATTACAACTACCTGATTTGCAACAACAAACTTCTGTCCATGCAAAATGTAGTCTGTGTATCAAATAGAATGTTCCTTCACAAAACAGAATTTTGATATTATCACAAGATGGCATTAACATGTAATTAATTGCACTAAATTTCCATAAGTCTGTATCATACAGCTAGAATGACTGAGGATTGAATATCATTTTTTCTGGACTAACTTCAAAGGAAGTAAGGAATTCAAAAGCAAAGCAATTTTTATTATTAAAAATGGATGTGTGGATGATTTTCAGAGAAAACAATTTTGATCTTTTGAAAACTAATTATGTTAACATTGATATAAATTATGTGTTGGTATCCAAACATATGTTTCTAATAAAGAAATTAATTAAATCCTAATAATTTGTAATCTTACATAAAATGACTGTGATGATGAGGAAGTAGCATCAACCTTTTTCTTTTTTTCTTTTAAAGAGAGTTTTCCTGATTAAAATATCTAATAAAATTATAGTAGCTCTGATTTTAATTTGTACTAATCAAAGTCAATAATTTCCAAATAAATATCTATCATATGGTAATCTAAAGATTGGGGGGGAAACACAAGCACAAACCAATTAAAATGCAAAACAGAGGAAATGGTAGGTGGCTGGCTATTTACACATGAAAACTCAGAATAGATGAGGTTCATACATAATTCACAGAAAGCCAGCAGGATTATGAGGACTTTTAAAACATGAAGTAAGGACTGCTGGCAGTAGGTCTCAGTTCTCACCTTAGTAAGCCAAGAGGGAAAAACAATATATGTACTAATAATACAAAAACCAAATGAATACCTATTGTAGCTCTGTGTGTTTATCATCTTAAAAAGGAATAGGCAATCTGTTCAGCTGGTATTTTTCAAATGAAGCCCTTTGGAAGGATGAAGTGAAAGATCAAGCTTCCCAAAGATGGGAAATAGAACTTTTTTGCACTTGCATTTTGTAACTGAAATGTGTAGATTATCTATACTGACCACATTCAAGAATTTCATTTATACCAATTAGTATATCCAAGTTACTAATTTTCTATCCATGGATTTTATCTTAGTTTGGCCCTAGAGAGAACTACCCTCCTCTCAGTTTTGCATTAACTCTTGACAGCTCCAAGCAGTCTTGGAGGACAGCTGATTATTTACTTTCCAATTGTGCTCAGAATGAAAACTACACTTGTTGACAGTACAATAGAGACAGATTATTCACTGGTTTTTGATCGTATTGAACATGGAAGCTGTGACCAAATCAGTTTTCTCCCTCCCTCTTGTCAGACTATTTCTCTAATAAAGGATTTTCCCAGACATACAAACTGCTGTAAACACATTCCACCTTTGGCTCAGCTTTAAACAAAGTCAGTACTGAAGGAATCCCTTGGGACAATTTTGATCCTCCAAGTCATTGATTGGTCAGGTTGTATACCCCTTCCTGGAATCCATGTCCACTTTCCTAAAAATCCACCAAGTAATGGAACTTACTTTTGTCTTCAAGATCAGGTGAAAAGTGAAGGCCTGATCATGTTACGATATCCTGGGGATGGCCAATAAGTGTCCTCAGACGTATTTAGTACTTACATCTGTTTCATTTTATTCTCTTGATTCTTTAATAAATGTACATAACTGGAAGCTGGATTTTGTCTTGTACATAGCCTGTAGAGTGCTACAGGCTTACCTGGAAATAGATGAAAGCTCTAAAAAGAGGACCTTCTATAAATGGATTCCTGGATGTTCAGGCTGCAGTTTACAAACTAAAATTCAAACTGTTATGCAGCAACTCACCAAAAGGATCAAAGGCAATAAATCAATCCTCACTTTCTACTTTATAGAAAGTATAAAGTTATATACCAACAGTATCCTAAATGTGATTGGTTGTCCAAATTATTATTCAAAGGGTATAGAAGCCAATCCATATAAGGAATAATGAAAAGATCTGGGTGCGTTTAGTGTAAAGAAGAGACACTTGAAGGGAGATATTCAAATACAATATTCAAATACCTGAAGGACTGTCATAGAAGAGAGAGTAAACTTTTTTTTTTTTTTTGGTGCCACAGGGCAGGACCAGAACCAGTGGACTAAAACTACAAAAAAAGGAGGTCCAGGCTAGACATCAGAAAAAACTTCCTGACTCTATGAACTGACAGCTAGTGGAACAGGCTGCTGCATTAAGTGGTAAGTTCTGCTTCACTGGAGGTCTTCAGAATCTGGATTGTCACTGTCAAAACGATATAGTATATTCTGCACTGAGCAGAAGGTTAGACTAAATAATTACTAAGGACCCATTCAAGTATATGATTCCAGGTTTTTGTTAACTGGTTTTGTTAACCCACCTGTATTTTGGAAAATGTAAATTTCATCTTCACATTTTCAATCCAAAAGTATTATTGAGAACTTTCAGTTCAGCCACATACATAGTTTAGAAGAGGGTACTTGAACTATCCTTTCCCAAATCAATCCATATGAAATGTAATATTTTTATCAGTTGCTCACATTTTGTATGCCTATTTATTATCCTGCCCGAGGGTCCTCCCCCCCCCGCCCCATTTATCCTTACAATCATTATCCAATGAGATAGTTTGGTAAAAAGACTATGGAGGTTTCTTTATGCTGGTCTTTGACCATAATAAAGATTTGATTTGATTATGAAGGTTTCTAAGTCACTCACTTATCTCAAAAGAAGAACCAGGAATCGAAAATATGAATCCCCTTTCCTAGTCGTAAACACTACACTACACACTAGCAGATGTAAGGTGCCTGAAAATTGGGGAGAGGATTTTCTCAGTGGACTACACTACACACTAGCAGATGTAAGGTGCCTGAAAATTGGGGAGAGGATTTTCTCAGTGGACTACACTACACACTAGCAGATGTAAGGTGCCTGAAAATTGGGGAGAGGATTTTCTCAGTGGTGATGCCACAATTATAAGAACATACTCTCATTTTCAAAATAGGTAAAGCCATTTATTTGCCTCTACAACTTTTATAAAACACTTTTCTGTCTTACGGTGAGCTTATTTTTACATTTGAGATTTAATTTTACACCTACCAAGTTTATTGGATTTTATTGTTATTGTATGAATTATAAACTATGCTGAATATTATTAAACATGCTTTAAAGAAATAATAGAAGAAATTATTTCAAAACTAAATGCACACTGTCTTGAAATGATTTCTGTAATACATTTACCTCAGAAGAACCACACAATAAACAGGAAAAGGAACACAAGCAGACTGACACAAATATATGCTTAATTTAGTATCTTCTAGTATGGAATTTGGTGGAAAATAAAGTAAACCTATAACAAGTATTGCATTCTAGTTCATTATTTAATTTGAGCAGTAACATTTCAGGAAATCCTATAAAAATATATCCATTTAATGCATTTTATTCACAGTATGTGCAAGCTATGTACACGTTCCCAATCATATTAACTCTGGTTAGTGTACAATAAATCAAGAAATATCATGAACTATAAAAATAAAATAATCACAAAATAATATCTAAGACATTTGTCCGTAATCCTTCAAGGCTAAAGGCTTGAATGTTTTCTTAACATTCTGAATTTTCTTTTTGAAAATTCTGCATATATTATTTAAAATCACTTATAATTGGTAAAATATTTTGAAGGTTGTTCTTGGACCTCACTTCGTCATCCTAAACAACTTGATTAGTCTTGCTTTCAAGACTGTTTTCAGTAGGGAGAACATGCCAACCAGAGCAACCATATTCCTCTGACACCTTAGAACATTCATAGAGAAGTATGGTTGAATTTAGAAATATTACAAATGCAAATTTTTAATTTCATAAAAATGACTATAGTAAAGGAACACACTTTCTACAGAATAGCAATGGACCAGGTTCAAAATACTATCATCTGTAGAAATTGTTTGGGGGTACACATGCATAGCTGTCTCCTATGATCTTGGCTTAGCATCCAAGAAACCAGTTTTCATCTTTCTATAAACAGTCCTTCTACTGACACCTAAAAACAAAATGGCCAGACTATATAACCTTTGAATGTCACACAACGAAATCTTTCATCTACTGCATAATTAATAAGAAAATGAGTAAATAATGAAATGTGTGACAGGACTGTAAGAACAGAAGGGAGAAAGCCACTGGTGAGTATTCATTTCCCTTCCAAGTGACTACATGATTTGTATCTTTTTATATACATACATATATCTAACAAAGATTAATACTAAGTAGTCCAGTGGCTGCTTCTTTTGTTACTTAAAATACACTTCTGCAAGTTCTTGAAGAATTGTGAGATGGAGTTATAGTATATATGAAAAGTAACCTTGGCTGTGGCAAGTTTCAAGGAAGCTGTTTGAGTCACTCACATTTCACAGATTTAATTTAATGCTTTTGTGTCTTCAGAGATATGTGATGCTTGAGCACACTGCTATGCAAATGTGGGAATAGCTTTAACATATCAAATGTTTGCCATCTCCTAAACAGTTTTATGTAACCATATCTGGCATAATTAAAGTGGCATTGAGAAGATGCTGAAAAGTCAACACTGACTCCCACTCATTCATTTCTGTACCACAGAGCTTCACTATAAAAACTGTAACAAATGCAAAGCTGTCAAATACTAATCTTGCCATGGTGCCCTTTCAGTGGCCTTCATACTCTTGCTCCTATGAAGGACCTTTCCCTTCTGCTGAATAATTATATCATCAGAATTTCCCAGTTTCTGCTTGGAGAGCAAATTGGTAGGCTCTCTCTCTACAACAGAAGCTTGTTTCAGCAAAAGATCAAGTCTGGTTGGAGGAAATTTAGATGTGGAATTAGATTCAGACTTTTGTGAAACTACATTCAAGCAACTTGTTTCTGTTTCTTCATGATTAGGGAAATGCTGAATGGTCCCTGATTTTTTAATCTTTTGTTCCCTTAAATTCCTAAGTTTTTCTAAAGCCTGATCCAGTTCCATCTGTAAGATTCCCATTTCACTGGCTGCTTTATCCCGTTGTTCTCCACAGGCTTTGAGTGACCGTTCCAAAGATAGAAAGAACTCTTTTCCAAAACTTGACAGGGCCTCATCACCTTAAAAATTAAAAAAAGGGAAGAGGGTTAAATTGCATAATCAGGGCTTAAATCAACAGTTGCTCTCAGGCTGTTTGAAATACATACATAGTTTTAAATAGCTTTAGTAATAACTGGGTTTTTCCAGTTTACTAGTTTACACTAAATGTAGAAAAATCAGATATCACAGTGCTACAGAATTCTCTTATGTTGTTAAAGCAAATAAATGTACCATAGTTATCCTTCCTTATCAAATAAAGCCAGAAACCTATTTTGCCATTGTTTAGAGATGTTTCATTAGCACCATCAATGTGTTAATATATTGAATATGCCTTATAATAGATTTTACATACAATCTTTTGGAGTTTGCCACAGGCCCAATTTCTTGACTCAGTTTCTACGTAGCCATTAGGTTTATGCCTTTAAAAAAAAAAACTCTTTTACCTGGCAAATGGTAGCTTACCTCCTCCTAAACCTTAAGGACTTTTAAATGAGGGACTTTACTACATTGGTTCTTGGTTCCAAATTCCCTGCTGCGTCATGTTGACTATATCACTTCAAGCCAGAAGGATACTTGAGCCAAGCAGGTGATATCATCATGATGCATCCAATTATGTTTTAGCCAATGCTTCTATTGCAAGAGTGTTACATAGGTCTAAGTCTCAGACTGAACTATTTCACTTGGGCAATTGTGACTAATTTCTTTTCTAAACAAGAGGACATGGTCAAATGTTGCTATTTGTTCAGGGGTAGCCATCTCATTGATGTATTATAGACTTCATCTATAATCCTAGACATGCTTCCTATTCCATTATACTATTTACATGAGGAAGTAAATTCCATTTAACACATGAATAGGATTGCATTCTCCAAAATGAAAGCATGCCTATGAACCATATATTAGAAAACACTGGCCATGTTTCCATCTATCAAGTGAATATCAGGTTTGGGGGCAAATACATTTACATTAAGGCATATTTATAGTCAACTTTACTAATACCAAAGACATACTAATATGAAAGATTATATTGTATCTCTTGACTACTTTGCAATTAATTGTGACACTAAGTCTGATTAAAGGATCTTGGATGAGTTTTATTTCTTTGAGTTTTCTTTTGTTCCCATTAATAAAGTCTTTAGTGCTCAAGAAGATGAACATTTTCTAGTCCTTTGTAGAGAGGTGGCTTTTTCTCCCTTAGTCCCTTATGAAGGGGTGTGTTTTTCCCCCTCTTAGTTCTGTGGAAACCATTCAAGTCCTTGAAGGAACCTAGGGTTCCGTGGAGCCCCATTTTGAAAATCCTGTCATAGAACATAACTGCAAATCCTTGTAACAACTTGGTTTTTGACCAAGAAGAGTGATGTAGGATGTTTACAGACTGCTTTCTTTCATTTTTCAATACAAGAAACCAAGACAAAATGCCATTGCACATTTACAAGTTCTTACCTTCCTGCTGCTGACTTGCTGATGGAGTCAAAGTTTCAATGGCATATTGGATTTGTTCAGCATTGTTTTTAAAAACAGTGAGAAAGTCTCTCAAAGCATCTTCCGAAGCTCCAGTTTTAAGTTTTGCATAAGAAGAAAAAACATCTGCATGAAGAGATGGATGGAAAGTGATAAATAATTTCCTAGAGATTTTTCTCAAAAATATCAAACAGAATAGACAGATATGTTATTACATTTGAATTGTTTTCAGGTAATTAATGTTTAAATGTGTCCTTAGTATACATTAGTACTTGAAAACTGGATTTGATTGATGCTGTTATTCCCAGACATATATTTACCTTGTAGTGGGGAACAAAGAACCATAGCAACATTATCTTGAAATGTGTGGTACGCTTGCTTTATCCCTTCGAACACAGCTTCAATATACTTAACTTGGAGATTATATAAATTTCTGTGGAAATTTAGTTCAGCTTGCAAAGCAAGTATCTAGAAGTGAAAAAAAGATCAACAAATATGATTAGAATTAGCAATCACCCAGAAAAAAGGGCAAAAAGAATAAATATTATAAACTATTATTTCACAAACTAATAGTTATATGTACCACCATCAATTCATTCTATAAAATGTGCAATTTCTTTCTATAAAATGCATTACAGAATAGGCTAAAAGTGTTGTGGTGCAACACTTGAATAATGGGCTAACTTGCTATTTTTTCCGTTGTAGATCACATTTTTATAATGAAGTGTTATGACATAAAGGAACGTTTTTGTAATGACATAAAGGAACGTTTTTGTAATTGTAACCAAAGGCTTCATCTAAACATATTACAAGCATCTTAAATATAACAAAATCACCATTTTAAATATTAAACTTATCTACTTTCCCATATCCAGACTACAAAATTTACTATCTCAAAAACTCATCAATTATTAATTCTTCAATGTATCCCTTAGTCCAATTTTCCAAAATGTGGTTGTTTCGATATATTATTATTGTTGTTTTTATCACAGATTTGTCATGCATAGTCTTTTGACTTCTGCATTGGTATACATTTGGTATACAACCACTGTTTATATATATTTATAAAAAAATGCAGGGGGGGTGGGAAAAAGCATCAACATGCCATAGCAATGCTTCAGGTACTAAGATAGACACAGACACACACATATACACAGACACACACACACAATTTGTGTGTCTAGATATACATCAAACTTCTACCAGTCATGGTAGATATTAAGAATTTTATACTGAGAAATAATCAGAACACAGACAATAGACTAGGTTTCTAGGTGAACAGGAAGCTATTTTTCAATGGTAGAAATATTAAGAAAGTGATTAAATGGGGTAGAAGATTTCTAAGAAAGACAGTCTGGTGTAGTGGTTAAGGCACAAGCCTGGAGACTGAATTCTAGTGCTCCCTTAGGCACAAAGCCATCTGCGTAACTTTGGGCCAGTCACATTCTCTAAGCCCAGGGAAGAAAGTAGTGGCAAACCACTTCTGAAATCTTGCCAAGAAAACTGCAGGGACTAATCCAGGCATTTGCTAGGATTCAAGAGGGACTTGAAAGCACCGGGGGGAAAAAAAAGGTTCTAAGCTCATTTTTTATTGTTCTATTACTATCAGCCTTATTAGGTAGACCAGACAGGAAACACAACCAGATCAGCTAATTCTACTTTATTGTAAGGCTACATTAACAGAATCATGCAGGTCTGAAAGTACAATTCTTCCTCTGTCTCCTTTACAGCCTGAGAAATTAGGGCGGGTCTCTTCTGCACCTCTTGCCACACCCACTATCCAGCTGTGGGCTATGCTGTCTCTTATCTGACCATTCCCTAGGCAGTGTCT